GCCTCGGGCCTCGAGGCCCATACCAACGTCCCTCCCAACGCCTCACGGTGGTGCGCTCTCAGCCGCCCTTATCGTGGTTGATCTCTTACGCGGCTGCTACTCTTATTACGGGTCAGCTTCCCCTCACTACCTGTCTTATTTCCTCTTCCCCTCCCAAAGGCCAACGTCAGTTTTGTTGCTTAGATTATTATTATTTTTATTATTGGTGCTTTCATTTGATTCGTTTATCCAACTTTGTATCAAACATAAATAAGTATATTTGTGTAACGACAGCTCTTCAATCGTAACAATCATCCTCAAAATAGAAAAGCGAAGAACTCTATCTCCAGCAATGAGCCGCACCGGTGCGGGGTTTGCCGTGCCTGGTGCCGCATAGTCACGAAGCGTTTTGTCAGTCCCGGTGCTGTCATACGACGGTAGCACGACCTCTTTCTCGAGAAGACTGGCCTCCCCCATAAGGAGGGTTTTCACTGACCAGCAGGTGCTTTTAGTCAGTTTATCTTATCTTATTGCCTCATGGAAATCTACTCGCTTTAGATGCATTGCTTCCCCCTTGCAAGAATATTCTTAATCTATTTAAAATAAGCTGATCAGGTTTCCGACGTGTAGATTCTCATAGCATTAATTTGGCTCTCCCTTACACGAGAATCCAGTGATCTCCCCCCTTTATTGCATTACTTTACGCAGTACGTTGGGAGGGTGTATTGCTTCGTGTGATGAATTTCTTAGTTGTCCCTTGTATCATCGGATCCTTTAAAGCCATATCGTCATCTTCAAGTGGTTGAGCGCTTCTCGCTTAAATGTCGGCGAAAATATTCTTGGGGGAATGGTACCAGCGGTACTGGAAATATGATTTGTCGTGACTTTAATCATGCCTTGGTTTGTGGAATCTAGTCACTTATCAATTGAAGAGCTCTCTCCAAACAACGGTGTGTATCAAGTGGTAGATTGGGATTCTATCTGGGTCTTGGATGCATATGAATCAAACAGGTAATGATTACCAAAGCAAAATTACCTGCAATCTGTTTTTTTGCTAATTTTACTCTGATAAATAAACTGCTCCTCATTGTGAGATTAGGTTGCTTTTGCCGCATTGTACTTTAGCAAGGCTACTAGTCCACGCGCCCTGTGTGTGACCTAAGCGAAGCCTCCAATCTTAGTTCTATTTTGAATGGCAAACACCGACTCAGTTATGATGGCCGACATTGCAAAAGCTTTGAGGGTAGATCCTTTATTACGAATTATGTGAGCCTTATTGTTGATGTTGAGAGTGGGAATAGTAGTTGGAACTTTAAAACCCTTTGACATCTCTGGACTGGACTCTGTTGCTTTGCACAGTTGTGAAATTGACGTGACTCGTCATAAGATATAATTTGTGAGGTCAAACAACCTCTGAGGCAATTTATTTAGCACTTGACACTCGCGAAATGCATCTCTCTTTTGACTGACCTACCATTGCTGCAGTTTGAGGTGTATTCATCTGGCGTCACGTATGTGTGACGCACATTCTTCCCACAAAATTTCCTCCAAAACCTTTTATGGCGGCCTTCAGCACATCCATTCAAAATAATTGACTTGATAAACGAAAATTGATTGTTTTATTTAAAGAAGATGCGAGGACTAGTGGAAGTGGGGTGCTAGTGACGAAAGAATGAAGGTAGGCAGCGTTGAATCTGTCAAATTGAAGGCTGCAAGTAGTGTGCATTTCGCTGTAGGACGTCCATGAGTTATATGCCTCTTCCATGGACCAAGTGGAAGATAGAGGACTGGAGAGACAGTTCTGCAAGGTGTTGAGTATCTGCTCACAGTCTGCCGTCTTCTTCCCTTTTCGTCCATCTCTGCCAATGGTGATACGTCTGCTGCCGTCGCTATTGCCACTACCATTACTGATGGAGTACAGCACTTTGACTAGTTTCGTACTCAGCTCCTTTCATCGGTTAATTGCATCCCAGTTTTTTGCATCAAATGCTCTTACCATGGTAAATTGCGTCTTGTCCCCTAGTCCTTCACTATCCCATTTCCCAGTGAGTTAAACAAAAACGTCCCTTTGATTCATTTTAATTGAATAATTTTAGGTTAGTTCTTTGCTGGTATAAACGCCGCGATGACTGCACACGAAAAAAGTGTTGTCTGAGGAAACGGCGGTGTATCGCTGCTTAGTGGAGACTTGGCTGAGTGGTGAGTTTTGTACACCGAAGCGTCTCACCGGAATCCACTACCCTCAGTATCGTATGGCGATAGTGAACAACCTGTCACCGCTGGTATGAGAACGCAGTTGTATTCGTTA